GAGCCCCATGCCCTGCCTGAGTCCCGGCCTCCTGCACCGACCCCTCCGGCCGCCCCGCAGCACAGACATCCCCGGAGCAGCCGCTCCGGCTGCCGGCACTGGGGAGCCCGGGCGGCCCCGGGACAAATCCGACCCCACACGCGGCCGGGACCGGCAGGGCCGGACGGGCTCCCACGCAGCACCGGCCCGGACACAACCTGCGGCACCGGCACCGGCACCGGCGCCTGCCCCCTGCGCTGACATTGGCGCYGCGTCCCTCGGGCGGCGGGGGGGCCGCAACGGCCTCGCTGCGCTGCTGCTTTATGGCTGCTACCTGTCATAAACTGAGAAAATCAGGATCGATAAATCTTCCAGGAAACAAAAATCAGGGGAAATAAAATGAACTCAATGGGGAAACAGAGATAAACGGAATTGAAAACGCCTGCTGGGACGGCTCGGGGCTCCATAAAGCTGAGATATAGGCGCTGCCTCGTTGTCCCCCCGGCAGGGCTGGGCTCTGGGGCCCTATAGGCGCTGGGGGGGACCGTGGGATCCCTCCCTCCTGGCACCTCCCATGGCCCCATGCGCTGCAGCAGCCGCTCGGCACGGGCAGAGCACCCGGGTGCTGCCGCAGGGCACCAAGGGCGGCGCGTGGGGCACAGGCAGCAACGAGGGGATCCCTGTGGATCCCCGCGGCTGGGGGAGGAAGGGCAGGAGGAGGGAGTGGGAAGGAGCTGCAGCGGCTCCGGCCTCCCTTCCCTTGACTTCAGGGGGCTGAGATGGGGCTGAGGTCAGGGGCTCCCGCGCTGCCCCCCAAGGCCCTGGCGCTGCCCCCGAGCAAGCTGTGGCAGCACCGGCTGCGAGCCCTGCACCAGGACCTGCACCAGGACCTGCACCCGCACCTGCACCTGCAGCAGCTCCCGCACTCGCGCCAGCACCACTGCCCCGAGCCCCGGGCCGGTTGCTGCCCGTGCTGAGCCCGCAGCCACCCGTGCCCAGGCAGGGCGGCTGCTCCGGTGCCCGCGGGCACTCGGTCCCGGCAYGGGGACGGAGCTGCCGCCTGTCCAGGGCGGCGCGCGGGGCTGCCCGGCCGCACGCTCGGCTGCCGCTGCCGGCGCTGCCTCCTGCTGCGGCACCAGCCGTTTCCAGCACGTGCTGCAGCCGTCACACCAGGTCCCRCGTGCTCCCAGCTGCCCGTCAGCCCCCATGAACGGAGCTGCGTGCGCCGAGCTGCGCCCAGGGACGCCGGCCCGGTCACCGAGAACAGAGCGCGCGACAGACCGGTGCATAAACAGAGCGCCGCTCCGGCCGCCGCGCTCGTGCCCACGGCCGCGCGCGTTCAGGGCCTTCGGGAGCAGCCGCGGGCTCCGGCCCCCTGCCCCGGTGCCTCCCGGTGCCGTTGTGCAGGACGGAGTCGCGCGGCACTGACCAGGGGCTGCTTCAGGAGGCAACTCTCATTTCTGACCCTACTCGCTGCCGTAGCAGGGGCAGTTACCTCAGATTTGCACTGCAAATTAAAACAACAGCAAAAATCTGGTGTTTGGAGCAGAGCGCACTTTGCCAGGGAGCAAACGTTGACCCGGGAGCCTGGGAGCGGCGCTGGATCCCGCGCGGGCAGCCCGGCCTCGCGGCGGGCAGGGCAGAGCGCCCAGCCCTGCCTCCCATGCGGCTTCCCCTGCCCCGCGTTCCCACACGGAGCGATGCTCCCGGCCGTGCGCTGCCCACGGCAGCCAGGAACAGCACTCAGCCGATAGGRTAAGTGGCAAATATAAATAAATAAATAAGAAAAAGGCCTGTTACTATGGCTCCCTAGGGGACCCCAGACACCAATTTTTGCAGCCTCTCCTTCAGATGTCACACGCGCTCCGAGCTCCTCTTTGTTACAGGGATGATTCCTCCAGGATGAGGCCCCCGGCCTCGTGCACAYGGGGAGGCGGCAGCGGCTCCGAATGGAGCAGCCCACACAGCACCGGCAGCACCGACCACCCACAGGGATACCGGGACACAGGGGAACAGGGACACAGGGACACAGGGTGCAGGGACCCCAGGCACAGGGCTCAGGGACACAGGGAAACAGGGATACAGGACACAGGGACAAAGGACGCAGGGACRCAGGGCACAAGGACACATGGACACAGGCAGCACCAGGGCCACAGACAGTGCAGAAGAGACTCCAAGACAGGGCAGAGCCGCCCACTCATCCATCCCGGGCCCGTGCRCGTCCTCCAGAAGCAGCAGGGAGGGATTCCCGGCCTGGTACCCAGGATTCCCATCCCGGCACCCGGGTCTCCCGCACCTAAGGGATCCCAGCCTCGGGCTTGGCCAGGTCCCGGCTCATCCCATCCCAAGGGCCCCGTTCTTCCAGCCCTCCAGCTCCCGGAGCACTCGGGAACGCACCAGTTGTTCCCCCATTTGCTGCCTCCCTCCTGGAGAACGTCATGATTAAAATTAGCTGTCAATGTCCTAACGTAATAATTCCCAGCGCCCGGCCCAGAGCCTGTCAGGCCTCTTCAAGGGAAAAGCAAGTCCAGACATTTGATGAGGAGAGGTGTCAGAAGTAATTGCATTGAATGACTGCACGAATGGCAGCAGGAAAAACACATCGGATGGAGAATTCCCACCAGGAAGCATGAAAAAATCCAGCAGAATGCAAAGTGTTTATGAAAGTAATTGATAGAATAATCGTTGGCGGGCGAGACAGAGGGAGGGCAGCC